TTAAATAGGACTTTATATCTAGAGCCAGCATCATCTATTCAAAACTGATTAACTACAACATGCTAATAGTATGTAAATAAGTGAGAAACCTAAAAGATTCTCACTTGCATAAGCAGTCCATCATCTTCTGGTATAGCAAGTGTAAATCAGATCAGAAAAAAAATGATTGTAATGGCCTCTGTCCTAATGTGTAATTATAGAGATTTAATTTGACTTTAGAGCCAAGCACTTCTCTCTGCAGGTTCCCACAGACAGATATTGAATTTGAAGTCACAACTCACAAAGTGATACGACAAACGAACCTTAAGGACTAAGTCAGAGATAAAGTGGTGGAAAAGTAAAGATCATCATTACATAGTGCAGTGTGGTGATACCACCCAGATACTATCCAGATGAGACAGGCTTTTCAAATTCAGCAAGCAACCAAGCCGGAAACTGGTTAAAGATGCCACTGTGAAGCCATCAGTGACTCTGTCACATCTGAAATGGGAGACACTGCTCATAAATCAACAATATGCCAGCCCCTACACAAAAGCTTTTTTATTTTTGCATATTGGCAAAAAAAAAAAACGTAAATGCAAAAAAGTTTGTGACAAAGCATGTAAATGAGGCTGCAGACATGTGGCAGAAGGTTTTGAGATCAGACCAGACAAAAAATAATTTGAATTCAATGATCTTATGTCTGGCACAAGCTGAACACAGCATATAACAAAGCCACCACCATCCCAGCATGGGAGTGACAGCCTGTTATGGGGAATCTTCTCATCAGCGGCAAGTGGGACGCCGTCCGGACTGAGGGGAAAATTAATGTGTGAAGGACAGGTGAATCCCAGAGGAATACCTGCTTGAGTCAGTCAGGAATCAAAAAGTCAACAGTTCAGATTCAGGGGGCTGAATACATACAGTACACACATTAGCAAATTTCTCTTTTGTATATTTTCTATTCGGGCTAGGCTGACATTCAGCCTCCTCCACATGTCCAGTTTGATCACTCGAATTCCAAATTTAAAAAAGGATATTTGAAGTCCAACTGCATACATTGTTTATAATTTATCCAAATTTGACATTGGTATGGGGTGAAAGCCTTTGTACAGCACTGTATATAACCTAAATACAATCTGTATATTGTATATATTATCAAGCATAAGATCCTGGAACACAATTCAGTTATAAGCTGTGTATTATTAAGAACAAAGATGATACAGGGTTCTGTCAGACAAGCTAGAGCAGATAAACAGGTTCTTCTGAGTTCCACCCAGTGAATAATTTTTTTGTTCAGATTGTGCCAGCAATCCTTTTCAGTCTTCTACTCATTCAAGGAAAGGTGAGTGCGACTACTATTCTGCTCTCTGCTAAGACAGTTTCTTACAAAACAACGCTAATTCTACTCATAATTTTTTTCACACAGCGAAGGATGGTAAAATCCTGTGATAAATGCTTTCAGTTCCTCTGATTTGATTCTACACAGTGCTTAATCTTGGTCATTTCTTTAACCATGATTGCTGGTGTCTCTTCTAATAACAATATATTAGCATGCTTATCCATTTGTAAATACATTTTTAAATAACATAATGATATATTGTGATTCCAAGACACCTGGAAGTAGCATAACTAGTTGAAACTGATTGTGATTTGTCTGCTACAAACAAGTTATCCTGGTCTCCTGGAATAAAGTTGAATAAGAAGTAAATTGTCTGTGGGAATTGATGTATACAGTTCCATACAGCACTGTGTCATTGGACCTGCAGCATTCATGAACATTTATGTTTCAAATAATGCTTTATTTATGTGTAAACGCAGAAGGAACAGCAGTTTTCACTGAAACAAATACAAAACGTTGTAATGTTAAATAGAAATTTAATGCACACTTTTTCATATTTAAGAATCCATAAGAAAGGTGTGAATCAATTTAAAATGCAGCATTCAGCTTTAAGACACAGTATGACTGTATATTAGCCTCCCTCACCTGCATTACCTTTCAGATACAAACCTGTTTGGGTTTGGCATCTCTGGTTAGACTGTGACTGATAGCTTTGTTCTCTTTTTCAGTTCAAGTAGTGACAAATCACTTCTTCACTGTTGTTTGATAGGTTTGGTTTTAAAGAATAATCAAGGCTATGAAAACCTATAAATGATTTCACCTCAAGCATGGAGAATACCTTTAACTTCAGCAATTCTGAAATGTTCCTTTTTGTGTCTCTCAGGCGGCTCCAGTTGTTAAAATGAAAGCCATTGCAAAGGCCCTCATCTTTTGTCTGGTTTGTGTTGGGACCTACTATGTAACCGTTGTGTTTCTGGCACCAAAAGAAACACTTTCACTGGACAAGACCTCAAAACGAGGCTCTCGGTCACCAAACAATATCCCTCAAGCACAGGCAGATATTCCTGAGAAGCCAGGAAAAGTGCCTAAGATTCCAAAGGGCGCAGATGAAGCAGTACAAGACATCCTCCAGCCAGCAGCTAAAACGTCTCCACTTCCAAATGAGCATGTCCAACCAGTAACTGAAACACCTCAACCACACCCTCTTGCCCGAGGTAAGGCTGTCAAATAATTATCCCAAA